CCCGGGCGCCCGCCAGTGATAAAGGGACACCCCCGCCATGTGGTCTGGCCCGGGACCCGGCCGCCACGAGTTGGTAATCGGCTCCGGTTGGGGCGGGGCCGAGGGCCGGCCGGCCGGACACGCCGTCCCCTCCGCCGCCCGGGCAGAAGGGCCTCACGACGCAACCGGGCCCGGTGGCCGAGCGGCGTAACAGCCGGCCGGCTCCGATTCCCGGCGCCGGCCGATTGGCGGGGCCCGGGCGAAGCCAGCCCCGCCGGGCCCCCGGCCCCCGGGGGCAGAGAGAGAGGGAGAGAGAAGGCAGCCGGGCAGGGCGCTTCGGCGCAAGATGCTTCCCCCGGCTTTCCCGGGAGGAAGGCGAATATTGTTTTCTTTTCCCCTCCGGGCCGAGCTCCCGTTCACACCCGGCCGCCGGGCCTTTGGCGCGACGGCCTTCTTCCGGTCCGTGTTTCCCTCCCCGGCTGGTTGGCCTGGCCCCCCCCCCGTTCCTGGCCGCCGGAGGGGGCCCGCCTGTGGCCTCGCTTTGGCGGGCCGCGCGCGCGCGCCCAGCCGGCCAGGTTATCATATAACGTGGGCCCGGACCGGGGTGTGCATTATTATGTGCCCTTTTTCCGTGGCTTTACGCCCCCAACGCCGGCGGGCACCTCCTCCCCCCCCCGCCCCCCGGTGGCTGGCCCCCTCCGGCAGCCAGCCCGCCAACGACGGAACCAAGGGCCGAGCAGGCAGGGGCGACGCCCCGGGGCCGGCCGGGCGAGACGCGCCCGCCCTCACGGTGGGGCGAGGGGCGGGAGCGAATATTTCCGACGTCCGGCTGTCCCCCCGGTGTCGGCGACGGCGGCGACGGCAGCAGCGACTCGGGCACTGCGCGCGGTGGCGGCCCGCAGCGTGGCCTGCGCCGACGCGGACGCGCGCGCGCGGGATATTAAGCCGCGGCGGGGGCCCGGGCGCCCTCCGTTCCTCGCCTGCCCTCCCCCCCGCCCCCCCGTGGCGTGTGGCACCCGCAGCGAGCCGAGCTCCCCGGAGCGCCGGCGCGCCCCCCGGCCGCCGCATACACTGAAACTGCTCCGAGACCTGAGGTGTCGCACGCGCCCCGCCGGGGCCTGGCCCGGCCAGTTCCCCCCTCCGCGCCCCGGCTTCCAGGCCGTAACCCGGTCCGGCTCGGGGGGCGCTGGCGGCTCCCCGCCGCCGGGAGGGAGCCCAGGCAGCGCACGCTTGCGCCGCCAGATCGGCGCCGCCCCCCCCCCCCCCCGGGGCACGGCCCTCCCTCGGGTGGCGGCATGCACCTGTGCTCGATGAAATGCGGAGAGATCTGGCCGGCCGCCGCGCGGCACCCCGCGTTCGCGACCCCGGCCGGCCGCAGGATCTCCCCGGTGGGATCTCGTCCCCCCCCGGGCCGGGGGGGGGGTGGTCGCGGGCCGCAGCCGAAGGTCCCGGCCGCGCGCGTGCGCAGGCCCCAGGAGGGCCAGCGGTGCGGTGGGACACCCACACACGCACACCCACCCACACATACATGCACACACACGCGCCCTTGCACACATCCACGCGATCCCGCCCCGTTTTTTTGACGGCCTGCCTCTGGGGTGTCCGGCCAGCCAGCCGGGTTGTTGCCATACCGCCCCCGGCCTGCTCTGGCCCCCCCCCCTCCCCCCCGACCCTTTCCCCCCCTTTCTTCTGCTCCCTTTTGTCCCCGCCCCTTCCCCCTTCCTCCCGCCCAGAGCCCGGTGCCGGACGGCCCCCTCCCCTCGTCCCCCTCTCCCCTCCCCTCTCTTCCCTTCGTCTCTTTCCCTCGCGCTCTCTCTCTCTCTCTCTGTGTGTACGGGGGTCTTCTTGTGCACAGTCGCGTGGCGTCGGCACACTTGGTGTTTGCCTCCTCGCGCCCCCCGGCCGCCGTTGCTGCCTCCCTCTCTTTCTCTCCCTCCCTCCTCCCTCTCCTCCCTGCGGTTTCATGTCGTCGCAGGGCCCTCCCCCTCCGCCGGAGAGGGCCCCATCGGCCTTCGCCGACAGCCTCCATCTTGCCTCCTCGCAGCAGCACGCGCAATTGATGCAGCACGCGCAATTGATGCAGCACGCCCAAGCGGTGCAGCACGCCCAAGCGGTGCAGCACGCCCAAGCGGTGCAGCACGCCCAAGCGGTGCAGCACGCCCAAGCGGTGCAGCACGCCCAGCATGCCCTGCACGGGCAGTACCACCACTTCCCGCCGCAGCATCAGCCCCCGCAGCAGTATGCCCCCCGGGCGCCGTACTCGCACCCCGGGCCCGAGGAGCTGGTGCCGGCTCGGGGACCGCAGCCCCCCGGCCATCAGCCGGCCCCGCCCACCGAGCGCCAGCACCTGGACCCCCAGCGCGGGGGCCACCACCCCCCGGCCGGGGAGCCGGGCCCGGTCCGGGGGCCCGGCGGGGCCCTCCTCTCACCGGCCGAGATCCTCGGCTTCCACGGCCAAGATACATACTACTGGACTGCGCACTCGGCCATTTCCTTCCGGCCGGCCCCCTCCTCCACCACGCCCGGGCCCAAGCACAGCCCGATCTCCTTCTTCGGCAACTCCGGCAGCGGGTCCGACCAGTCCCCGGCCTCGGACTCGGAGGACGCCGAGGCGGATGACCGCCACCACCCGGTCGCCAGCCGGCTGCCAGTGGTATACCACTCGCACCGGCCCGGGACCGGGGGCGCCGCACTCCCGGCGCCCGGGCCGCCAGCCGACCGTCCTCGCCCAGCCGCAGCCCATGACGCCCTGGCGCACCGGCACCCGGACTACTTGCCGGCGGCCGGCCCCCCCCGGGCAGTGGCCACGGCCCCCGGGCCGGGCGAATGGCCGGCCTCCCTGGCCACCGCCACCACGATGCCGGGGACCGTGGCCGGGTCGGCACCGGTCCCGATGTCGGCCTCCGGCCCGGGCCCGGCCGCGAGTCTCGCCTCGGCAGCCTTCCCCCAGCGGACCCTGCCGTCACAGCATCATGTCCATGCCCCGGCCGGGGGCGCCCTGGCGGCGACTGCCGGCGTTTCCTCCTTCGCCTATGACGTGGGCGCTGTTCCGCCAGCCGCCGGGGCCGCCTGGCCCGGGGGGCTCCTCTCCTCGCACTCGCGCTCCGGCTCTTCGCCATCTCCCGGGCCCTCGAGCGGCCGGGCCGACAGCGACCCGCCCAAGGCCGGCGGCCCGGCGCCGGCCCCGCCCACTGGGCTCCCCTCGCCGCGGTCCTTCGGCGACAGGTCATCCTGCCCGGGCCCGGCGGCCACCATGACGGCCTTCCCCCGGCCGTCGGCCCCCGCTGGCCGGGCCCCGGCGCCGGCCATGCCGGCATACCACCTGCCACGCCCCCTGGGCCCGGGCGATCACCCGCATGCCAGCTCGGAGCATCGACTCCTGATGACGGCCATGTCGCCGGTGTCGCCGGACTCCATGGCTCCCCGCCGCTACTCCCCCTCGACAATGGTGGCCACGGCGGGGCCGGTGGCAGCGCTCCCCGTGGCGACCGAGGTCTCGCCCCTTCCGCTGGGGGCCACCCAGCCCCGGCCGCCGGGGCCCGGGCTCCTGCCCCCCCCGGGCGTCCATCCCGCCTGGCATGATGAGGCCCTGGGCGCCGCGCTGCCGCCGCATCATGGGCACCACCATCCCCCCCGGGGGGCGGCCCATCGCGCGGAAAAGCCCGGCGATCTTGCAAGCGCAACACCCCCCCTCTATCCTCATGGCCAGCACCAGCAGTATCCGCACTATACCATTCACCGGGGGATAGCTGCGAGCGCATCCGCCGCCTCGCCGCCGGTGCCTCTCTTGCAGACGGTATCCCCCCCGCTGTCGACCCCGTCCGAGTCCTTCCCCAGTCCGCACCATCCGGCACCCGGGGCCAATGTCCATGCCGGGCCCGCCCCGCGCATGGGCCCGCCAGCCATGGCCGGCCCGCGCTCATGTCCCGGGGGGATATCCTCCGGCTTCGGACTGGTCGACGGCGGCCCCGGACCCCCGGCCGCCACGGCGCCGGTGTCCTCCTCCTCCTCCTCCTCCTCCTCCTTTTCTTCCTCTTCCTCCTCCTCCTCCTCCTCCCCCGCGGCGCCCTCTCCCCTTATGTTCCATGCTCCGACTGCCTACCGTCCTGGGGCCACCTCCCTGCCGGGCACCGTACGTCCAAACCCACGGCCACCCGCATCCACGCCCATGGACCGTGCTTCCCTCCTTGGCCACTTGCTCTCCGGATTGCGGGCATACTCGGCCCTTCTCCCCCTCGCCCGCCTTCCTTCATGCCGGCCGCTCGCTAACCGCATTTGCTTGTGCCCTTCCCCTCCCTGTCCCCCTCCCCCCCCCTCCCCGCCTTCCAGGCGGCGGCCAGCCCTTATCAGCACCTGTCGAGCCCGTATGGCATCGGAGCGCCCGTCTCATCGCCCTTGCAAGCGCCGGGACATGCCGGCCACCACCTCCCCCCGCCATCATATCACCACCCTCAGTCCAGCCGGCCGATGCCCCACACGCCCATCTCGCTCTTTGGGATGACTCCCTCGCCGATGGCGCCGGGCCCCTCGCCGGCCGCGCCATCCCCCCGGTGGCCCGGGCCCGGGCCCGCCGGTGGCGGCCCTCTTGAACACTCGGCCCACCAGCACCCCCCCTCGGTCAGCCCCGGGGCCGGGTCCTGGCCCTCGTCGGCCTCCCTGCCGCCGGGGCCGCCTGCGCCCCAGCCACTCCCCCAGCAGCGGCTGCCGCCTCCCCGGGCCCGGCCGTGCCAGTTCGGGCCGGGATCCGTCGAGTCGGACCCCTCGCCGGCTGCGGGCCCCTCGCCGGCCGTCGCGACCATCGCCGGGTGCCAGTCCCCCGGCCGGTCGGCCCTCATTCGCCAGCGCCACGAGGGCCACGAAGAGGAGCCGGCGGCACACCACCAGCCGCACCGGCGGCAGACGTCCGCCACACCACCCGGGCCCAGGCCGGCCAAGCGCGCGCGCCAGGCCACCGGCCGATCGCTGGCCACACCGGACCCCGGAACCGCCGGCGGGCCCTCTTCCTCGGAGACGACCACCCCCCAGGCAGGGTCGAACCCCGGCACGCCGGCCAAGGCCGGCGGCGCCGGCGGGCCGGCTCTCCTGTCGCCGGAGCTCTTCCGCAGCTCGGCGGTCATCGTCCACAGCTTCACATTCCCCCCGGCCCCAGGCGCCGGCGCCGGCCCCGGTCCCCTCCCCCCCGGGCAGCACCCTCCGCCGCACCGGGAGCCGCCGCCATCGACGCACGCTGCCCCGCTGGAGGGGGTCCTCCTGCTGGAGCCCATGCGCCTGCTGAATATCCAGTCGTACTCCAGCTTGACGCAGCGCTTCCCCGGGGTGTCGCGCGCGCGCGTCGCCCTCGACACCCGGCGCATCGGGCAGTTGAACAATTATCGGAAGATCTCCCGCGACAATGGCGTGGTCAGCCTCAAGCGCCCGGTGTACTTGGTGCCGGAGCGCAGCGTGCCGGCCATGCTGGCCGAGGCCGGCTGGAGCGGCATCGTCTACCTCAAGCAGATCCGCCTCGACCACGAGGGGGCCATCATCTCCGAGAGCCTGGCCAGCGTGAGCGTGGATGCCGCCGGCGCCGGTGGGAGGGTGCCGCCGGCCGGGGTCTGAGCGCGCCACGCCGGGGCGCGTGGCGAGCGCCTCCCCCCCCCCCCCTGGTACCATCTCTCCCTTTCTTCTGTCCCGCTGCTCCGAGAAGAGCGGGCGAGGGGGGGGGGAACGCAGGAGCCGCGGAGAAGCACGCGACGGCCCGCACAAAAAAAACAAACAATACACCTCCTTGTACTTTTGCATCGCCCACGCACCGCCTGCTCGCCATGCTCCCTTCCTTTCTGGGCTCTTTCTTTCCGGCCCATTTTTCCGTGTCCCTCCCCGGTCCCACACAGTCGGGCGCCCGGGCGTGGGGGCGTGACGCGGGAGCGCCGCACGTGTCATGTGCGTTGGCAATGGTGCATGACCGTGGGCGCATGAATGCGCCAAAGGGGCGCGGCTGTTTCAGTTCGTGCCAGGGGCAGGCGCGCGCGCGCGCGCCCTCGGTCGGGGAGACCCCCGTACGCCGGCCGGCGCG